ACCTATAAGACAGGTACATCCCACATGGTATCTTAACTGATAATATGGAGTAATTAATTAATTTATGACAAAAAATTCTTATGAACTTTCTATGAACTTTCGTCATAAAAATTTCTTATGACGAGAATGTGACGAAAACTGTGACGAAAGTACCCACGACTTTTTTGTGACGAGAGTTCCGGAATTCGCCATTTTTAATCCTTAATATTCCAACATCTTTATGTCCATCATCTTAATAAAACTAGAATTTTTTATAGAGGCAAAAGTTTTTCTTATAATGAACTCGCCATCGTAGCAAAAGAAAAATGCAAAATCCGTGAGTGTGTGTGACAGTTAAAATCACTGGAACGTTTGTAGGAATTCTTGCTAAATGCGGCAAATCGCAGTTGAGTGTAAAAGCTCCTGTTGGCTTACATAACAAAACTCTTTGAGCTAAGAGTGCATCAACCTACCTATATTACCAACCTTGGCTGCTCACACTTTATCAAACTATGTCAGTTTGAAAAGGACGATTGTGTTTGAATTTGGCGGATTGTAACAAGGTGACTAGATAGCCCAAAGTGTTCTCAGATTTTTTTTTCTTCAGATTTTAGTACCAAATAGGTGTGAAGATAGAATAAAGCCTTTTCATCTACATATCACATCGGAAAAGTGATGTTTTCATCATCTAACTTACTTTAGAGACCATCAATGTGTTCTTCAACAGTCAGCATCGCGTCGAGAGTGGCTGACCTGAAGTTTCGTAAGAAAACCATCAACTGTCAAGAGCTGTTACTCCATTTTCTTTTTTTCTTGTGCAATTTAGTTCCAAAGATCGAACAGTTCGTCACCCTTCTCAACGTGACCGTTACATATCGTGCAAGTACAACCGTTCACGGTACTCCAATGATGATTTTGTGGTAAGATCATTTACTATTAGTCACAAGAAANCCCTTCTCAACGTGACCGTTACATATCGTGCAAGTACAACCGTTCACGGTACTCCAATGATGATTTTGTGGTAAGATCATTTACTATTAGTCACAAGAAAACGCTCATGTATTCAAAATTCAATCTACTTTTCATGAAGTGAGTGGAGCAAGAACTGTAGTACAAACTCTACATGACTCTTATGATTTATATTTATATTTATGACTGACTCTTTAATCAAAAACGTTTTAAACATGAGTTTTTTTGTAAAATCGAGTCTTTTGCAAAACTGTCACTTTGCAAGAAAATCAGTCATCAGCTTCAGAAATCATGCATGAACTCAATTCTTTTTGCGTTATTTGTTAGAAATATGTTCAATCGTAGAAATTTTACAAAAAAACTAATTCAAAAAAGGTTTTTATCGTTGCAAAACGGCCCGGTAGTAACGGACGACCAACTTATTTAGTCGCTTTCAGAAAAACTGTATTTTGGTACAAAAATCAAGAGTAAATTTAACTTCCAATGTACCATTGAAAAGAGTACTCTTTGTGCTACAGAATCATCATTTAATGTATTTTCTCATTTTTCTTCTGATGAAAGAAAACTAATAGAAAATAGAAAATGATGTCGCTCCATAGCGAAGTTGCAAGGACTTTTTCAGAGGTGTTTGGTTTTCGACTTTTTTTCCTTCTGAGATTCGTGCTGGAAAAATGTGTCTGGTACAAAACTTGTAGTTCAAATTTTGCTCTTTCCAACAAACAAAGTTTGATTGGTTTAGAAATCGGCAATACGGTCTAACAGAGTTTGACATTACTGCTATTACTTTTGCACGATATGTTAATGAATAAATATTTTTCGAATTTCACGTGATGATATAAAATAAATATAAAATCTAGAAGCATGATTAAGGAAAGTTACAAGACCAGCAATTGTATTAAATAAATTTTCTTGTGCCAAACGTAGTAAATTTTTTCTACATACATTGTAACATTTGAATAGATTAATTGTACTGCATATGGTGTAGTGAATAAAGTTGCGACACATATTGGTAATAGTAACATTGTCGTTAATTGATTTTCAATACGTTGACGAATACTAATCTCACGTTGATCAGTGTTAACTCTTACAACAGGAACAATTCGTTAGTGAAGATTTTTATATGTTTTAACGCCAAAATAAACTGGTAGAATGATTTCTAAAACTGTAAATTGAATCAAACTTACAACATAAGAAAAATAATATATAAAAGCTGTTGATATTGCCGAACACTTGTTATTCCCTTGACTGTAAAGTCTAGGGTTATACGAAATTAAATGCATGTACGTTTGTGTCTCCACATATTGCACGCGAGAGGAAAAACGTTAAATGCATGTACGTTTGTGGCTCCGCACTTTGCGTGCAAAAACAGTAAGTGACGGATGTACATACATATAGTGACCCATGAGTGTGACGGACGTACATAGATATAGTGGCTAATGAGTGCGACAGACGTACATACATATAGTCATGTGGCAGTGTGACGGACATGCAAGGGAGCGCGTGCACACTTGTGTTCACGTTGTTTATTAGTAATATCATAATAAATTAAACCGAGTGCTGATACTACGATATAGGATATAATTATAATAAAAATTGATGACCGTGTATTTTTAATTTTCGACCATTCCCGATATCTAGACAGTTGCTAAAAGAACAACTATCATTGCTGATAATGAAAATTGTACTGTAAAATAAAATTTTAATTTACAATAAATCCTTGATGTCGCTGTTGGATCAATGTTAAAACCAATTAATATTCGTGCTAATAATGCATTAAATAAATGTAGCAAATTGACGATAGATGAAAAAAGTAAAAACATTGCACATGAATTTGATCGAAATAATTTTTTTGATGAAAATATGTAAATGTTTAATAGTGAACCAACACTGTACCAAATGTAAATAGAAACAATCCAACGTTGATATCTAATTGGCGAGATATTTCATTTAATAAATTTGTCAAGGGCGACATGATTATGTGTGAAGTATTTTATGTTTACTTCTTTTGTATATTAAATTCAGCGCTTTTACAAGCTTGAATATTAGAAACACATTTATTTTCACTTTAGAACACCGTAGTCTCTTATTCCAATATGTTTGCTTTACATAAAGAAATCTATCATACATCTAGAAAGAACGTTAAATATTATAAAGTAATAACAGTGTATCCGTCTTCTGCTGTCTTTATGTAGGGACGTTTTCGATTCATTAAATTTCATGTAATATTAAGACTAAAGTCAATGAAATAAAATTTGTTAAAAGATGCCTGTATATGGGAAATAGTCAAGCGAGAAGTGCATATCATTGTTCGATAGGGTTTTCTTCCGCTCTGTGAACACAGCTATGCATGGTTTCCGTAAACTATTAAAATGAAAACATATTTGTTGCTAACCTAGAGCGTTAACATTCAAGCCTGCAAACGAACTAACATTAGCACAAAATCGACTTTTATACGGGGGACAGAATCGGTGTAAATATTTTTTCTGAAGAGGTTATTATGTGAATCGACAGGCAGCAAAGTATCTCTTGATTCGAATCACTTTTCGCATTTTGACGCGAATAGTAACGCGTTTTAAGTGGCGCCACTATTCGCGCCAAAATGCGAAAAGTAATTTGAATCAAGAGATACTTTGCTGCCCGTCGATTCACATAATAAGCTCTTCAGAAAAAAATTTGAACCGATTCTGTTTCCCGTATGAAAAGTCGATTTTTTTTTGCGCTAATGATACACCGTAGAATTTTTGTATCGCTGCTAATAGCCATTCGTTAGTTCTCAAACCTTTTCCACATAAGTAACTTGACATGCTCTACAATCTAGCACTTGCAGAATGTATTCATCTGAAGGTTCATAGTGGATCTTCAGACACCCGGTCTTTAGAGAACCATCCAAGAAAAGCCTAAGAGCACAACTGGATACTGAATTTGGGATCAGTGTTAGAAGTTACCTCAGAAAAAGTATATCCCAACAAGAAAACCATTTACAATTTGGAGTACTTCCCTCGTTAGTGGTGCGAAGATATGCTAGAAAACATGCATTCATGGGGTTTATGGAAAAGAATTCTGGCTTTATTAATTTCGGTTGTTATATCCACATTGTGTCGTATGGTAGATATAAGCCGATGAAAGCTGACGAAGGCTGTCATGCACCATGGTTATCACTCTCGCAGCGGCTACCAGTTCAACGAACGGTTCTACAAGCAAAGGCACTGTCATATGCTAACAATCTTCTTGGCTTATCTTGGCTTCTAGGTAATTGTTACTATAGTAGTGCATATTACATAGACCGTAACACATGCTTCGTTATGGTCAGAGAACAAATTTTACTTTTATCATCTAAACAGCAACAAATGAAAGGTTTACAGGTATATATTTTTTCTGTTTCTAAAATCATTTTACTTTTTGCAAAGGGAAAACAGCGTACTTCTGTACTTTCCCGTACTTTTGCGCCTTTTCTACTTTGATTTGGCCTTTACTCACTATGAAATATGGTGTTCTTGCACCAATGTTTAATGATCATATCTAAATAACACATGGGCCGTACAGATAATATAAAATCCTACAGATCAAAGAAGCAAATGAAACGAAGTCGAATACGTGAATCATTACAAGATTTAGATGATATTGATCAACTGGATATTGAAAAAATCATTTCAGATGCATTTGATCAAGCAGTTCAATTAACTGAGCGTTTAGAATTATCGAATTTATTAAAAGAACATGGTGTTTTCGATTTAGATTCAATGAGTAAATATGTATTCCAACAATTGAACTCGAGTTCTAAAATGTTTGATTATTCCACACAAATGATGATAGCGATGAATTTGACCTTGAAGAAGAAGTAGAGAACGACGATGATAACATTAGTAACAACAGTATAGCGACGAAGAGGTGGATGATGACAATAGTGACACCGATGTTGACCAAGATGAAGACGATGGTGAAAGTATGAATTCTACAAAATCAGATTTCAATGATACAAGAATTTGCGATGAAATTGCACCGCATTTACAAGATTATTATTTTAAAGTGAAGATTAATGATAATCAAAAATATATGCACAAACATTTTCTTTTTTTCTTGTGCAATTTAGTTCCAAAGATCGAACAGTTCGTCACCCTTCTCAACGTGACCGTTACATATCGTGCAAGTACAACCGTTCACGGTACTCCAATGATGATTTTGTGGTAAGATCATTTACTATTAGTCACAAGAAAACGCTCATGTATTCAAAATTCAATCTAGTTTTCGTGAAGTGGGTGGAGCAAGAACTGTGGTACAAATTCTACATGGTTGTTCGTCGCCGTATTTATAGGGTGTCCGTAAAGTCCTTAGAGTTAGAAAATGTTCAATATTTTCTTTATTCTTTACCCAAATGAGCTGATTTTTTTCTGAATGTGGAAAGTAAATAGAAGTGTTTATTCAATGCAGACCGACCATTTATGAACGTAAAGTATCCGCACATAAAATATGAAATACCTAATACGCGACAAGGATTGACGGTTTGGTGCGAAATTAGATCTGATGGACTTGTAGGTCCGTATTTTTTTAACGATACTGTTACTGGTCCATTGTACAAGCAAATGCTGATCAATTATGCATGGCCTCAGTTAAGACGGAAAAACTATTACTTCCAGCATGACGGTGCAGGACCACATTATGCTATTATCGTTCGAGAATGGCTTGATGAACACTTTCCGGATCGATGGATAGGTAGACGTGGTCCATATGATTGGCGAGCTCGTTCACCAGCTTTATCTCCATGTGACTTTTTCCTCTGGGGATATTTGAAAGACACGGTGTCAGCCACTTACTTCCATTCAAGAACTTAAACAGAGAATCGAAGAAGCTTGTGAACAGATACCAGAAGAAATGTGTCGCAAAGTATGTCGTTCTGTTCAACAGCGCCTCCATGTCTGTATGAATAATGGAGGACAATTTGTCTCAAACTAGGCTTATATATCAGTTACATTTCTGATTAAATAAATAAAAGAATATACTATAGCGTCAGCATATAACTATGAGAAAAAACCTCGTTGTAAAGTTTACTTATAGTGTTAAAAAAATTGTTTGTTTTATGTTCATAAATGGTCTGTTTTGTGATGAATAAACACTTATATCCGCTTACTATACTCAGAAAAAAAATCAGCTCATTTGGGTAAAGAATGACGAAAACATTGAACATTTTCTAACTCTAAGGACTTTACGGACACCCTATATATAAAGAAACGTTACATCAGCAACACATCTGCTAATAGACGATCAACATGACTCTGTTCCTATTGTTTTGTGTATTTGACATGACAATTTAATTCAAATAAATTCATCGCCACGTAAAAAGTTGTCCGATTAAACGAGGGAACAAAGACAAATTCTTTTGGTACTTCAGTGTTTAGTCTTTATGGCTTAAGTAAATTGTATGGGTATTTGTGCCTATTTAAATACGACATAAATTTAACGAAAAATATTAGAGTAATAGCCAACACAATGATCGTATAACTAAATTCAGAGACAATAATTAACAACATATAGCCATACATGTTGATAAGAGCATTTAGAGAAGAAGCATTGATAATACACATATATGAAGTATTTAATATATCAGTTAAACGATAATATGATTTATCATTACTCTTACAATGACGAGGATCAAACATAAATAGACTTATTAATAATAATAAACAGAATGGATAAAACATCAATAAAAGACGTAATTGTTGGTATGTCTCAACAAATCGCATTGTTATCATTTCGTTAAATTCATATAAGATTGAAAATACTATTAAACATATAAAATCATGATACAGCGAATATTTGATATATACTTGTGATTCTTGATCACTCATGTGATATACCGAGTTTATAACTTAAAGAATGAGAAATAAAATGAGCGAGAGATTATTTTTCTATTTTGAATTGTATTGCAATGAAAGCACGAAGTACGAAGTTAGAAAAATACATCAAAAGTTGACAACCGTTTCCAACAGTGTGCTCAAACAAGAAATGGAAAAGATGATTGAAGTTTGGTTTTGCAGTCAGACAGAGAAGAGCAATCATTTCTGATCGAAACAAAGCAAATCTTGAATGAGGTAAGAAGATGTAATGCAGAATTGAGCTCCTCCTTCTCTGAATGTGAGAGAAGAAGAAGTGATTTGAATTTCAAGATTAATCGGATGAAGTCTCTCTCCATAAATGTGAGAGAAAGAAGAAGAAGGAGAGAAGAGATGTTACTTTTAAGTTGAAAAGTGACAAGAATGATAAAAGAATCGAAATTTGCTATCGATTATGACTCGCTTTTCGTTTTTGTTCCCCGGAAACGACTTGTATTATTTATTAATTTAATACATAATTTCTTTCTTCTATTATCTCTCTTAATAAAACCCGCGAAACTACGAAGTTTTAAGAATTTCTAGAAACTGTGATAAGATCAAGCATGGAGAATAACGTAATCGCGATGAGCCGTTACAATCACCCCGTCGCCCGGAAGAATCCGTCCCGGATTCAAAAGCAGGATAGAGAAAGACGTTCTGCTCTATGACCTTCTTTGTTGTTGTTTTTTCTCAATTTTCTTGTTCGGGTGAATAGTTTTTTCGAATATAAGTTGAAAGTTAGCTCAAGAAAACTTCATATTCACGAGACGGATAAAAGAAAGAGAATGCTTGCCGCTATGCTATTTTGATCCAGATTTGAAAAGAATACGCTAACGAGAAAAGGAAAAAGGGACTTATGCTAGATTCAAAAAGGCTGTACTGATTTTTTTTCTAAGAGCACTCCCTCAGTCAGAATCGCGACTGATTTCGGCCATTTACTTATTTTTTATGAACAGCATAGACGGGTATGTGCACGCGACCGGCCTGCTGAAGATCAGTAGCTAGCAAAAATTTAGACAACGGTTTATCTCTCAACCAGCATTTTCCATCTTGTACATCTAAAACTAAACCTATTTCGAACATGAAATCGGTTCCTAACAAG